TGACGGTGGGGGGGATTCTGACACCAGCCCCCTGACAGCTTATGTTTTTGTTTTGTTTTTATTGTTTTAGAGCGTGTTTGATGAATATGCTCAGTTTCATAGCCAGTCCGCGTGGAGGTCGCCTGGAGGCTCGCAGTTTAGCCTGACTCGTGTGACTGTCGTTTGGGGTTTGTTTTGTTTAAGATTGGCGGGAAAGCTAAGCTGCTCAACCGACCGTCTGTAACGTTCGGCGCTGAAGTTCGCATCCGATTCAGCACTTGAATAAAGGGCTATTTCTTATTTTTTAAGTAATCAGGACTGCATCTGGATCATGATGTAATATACTGAGCATGATCTAACCTGCAGTGGATTATTTTGATCAAAATATATTATGTAAACACGTATGGTTATGCTTTTTCTCATTTGAAAACAATTATTTAAATCTTCTTTTTGAGTAGGCACATGCATGACCATTGACTAGGACCAAATTAGCAAAGTATAACGAATCCCAGATTTTAATTATTCTTAATGTTATAACTTAAGATGGATTTCATTTGAAGTTATTGAAATAATGTAAAAAATAAAATTAAAATTGCGAAATGGAGGGTTTATAAATCAAACTGTTTTTAACCACTGCAGAATAAACAGGTCTGGTTTTGATTCTTGTAGGTATTTTTGATTCGCCAGATGGATGCCTGTTGAATGTCTTTAAAATTATTCTAAAATCTAGAAACATATTAGGATTTTGTAAAAGTAGAATTGAGGTTTATTAAATCTTAAACTTGTATTTTAAGTGAATATTTTGGAATATTTCAGATCAAATGTGTAAGTTTAACCAGAGCTGATGAAGGCTGATCCAGATTAATTGAAATGTGAAATAATGTTGCATTATCTGCGTGTTGTTAAATCAGTTTTATCTTTTTTATAATAATCATCTTTATTTATATAAACTCAATCTTATCTTCAGTCTGAATCTGTAAGTTTCCTTCTGTTTGTTGTTTTAGTTTGTTGTCTAGTTGTCAGTAATGAGGCAGCGTCTTTCTGCAGGCAGGAGGAAAGGCAGGAAAAGACAGCGGGAAAGCCAAGGCCAAGGCGGTGTCGCGCTCCCAGAGGGCTGGGCTGCAGGTAAATATTCTCTTCATTTGGCGGTTTGTGGTTTTGCGCTGCAGATGTTAATTCGACCCTGCTTGAACTGAAAGATTTAGTTGCTTCGTTGTTGTTTTTTGTCACTGCCTCCTGCCAGTTCCCAGTGGGTCGTATCCACAGACACTTGAAGACTCGCACAACCAGCCACGGCCGCGTCGGAGCCACAGCGGCCGTCTACAGCGCCGCCATCCTGGAGTACCTCACCGCTGAAGTACGTCCTCCTGCTCTGGGTGTGCTTGCTGCTCTGCTGTGTCTGAATGTTTGATAAATGCGTGTTATCTGATCAGGTACTAGAGTTGGCAGGAAACGCCTCCAAAGACTTGAAGGTGAAGCGTATCACTCCCCGCCACTTGCAGCTGGCGATCCGCGGCGATGAGGAGTTGGATTCTCTTATCAAAGCAACGATTGCTGGTGGAGGTGAGGAGCTCTTGCTTTCCTCGTGCATCGTTACGGTTGCTTTGTGTTTGTGCAGTCGTGTCAGGTGGTTTCAGTCTGACTGAAGTGTGGCGTGTTTCTGTCAGGTGTCATCCCTCACATCCACAAATCCCTCATCGGGAAGAAGGGCCAGCAGAAGACTGCGTAGACGCCACGTTGACCAGAAATTTGGGGGCTTGGGCTTTGTTCGGACCAGGAGTTCACATTTGTTCTTTTCTATTATTAATATTATAGCAAACGAAGAGTGATTGTTAGACTTTGTGTTGGTATATTTCTCCCTAAATAGTTAAAAGTACAGAAAACCCCCTTAACTGCAGTAAACCTTTTTTTATGTCATTGTAGTCCGTTTGATTGGGGAGTTCATGATTATTGAAATGACCGTGAATTTGTTTGATTGGCCTGGGAATATGTGATGTTTTATACTGAAATTGTTTAAAAAAAAACATTTTTTATATAAAAAAAATCTTGTTTTGTGGTTATTTTTCCTAAAGTTACAATATTTCCTATAACTTGTTTTTTTTTTTAAATGATGGTTGATTTGGTAACAGCAGCTAAATGTGACTTTTTTGCTTCTATTACTGTAATATTTTTGAACTGCACAGAGATGCCGTTTTTCTTTTAGCATCAAAATATCAATGAACACGTACTGTACCAGTCTGCTACAGTGTTTTACTTTTTGTGAATGTTTACAGTGTTTAAAACTTGTTAAACTTGAAACTCCGTATTGACAGATGTGATCTGGGAACACTGAGCGAACGGTGTTTGGTTTTTCTCCTCCGGTTCGCCGCGGCGTTCTGACGCTGCAGCTGAACGCCAGGAAACCAGTGAGAAGATCAAAACTTCTACCTGCAGTTTTTATATGTACTGGCAGACAGAACTGTCCTCGCATGTCCATTTGATTTTATTTTTAACGACTCGAAGCGTTTTCTAATAGTTGCGTGTTCAGGACAATGACTGCATATTTTATCTTTTAAATAAATACCCTTGACATGTTGTCCTTGGCGTTGTTTGAAACTTTTCCCTCTATGGTTCACGATGTGACAAAACGATAAATAAAACAGCAGCAGCGTTAACTAACGCAATATTAATGATCAATAGTTATTGCAAAATATTTCTGTTTGCAGTAATTTTTATTTTAGAGGGTATTTACTCCTGTCAAACAGAAAACTAATTTTTTTTCCTGGTTTTTGACAGAAGCGCCTTCAGCATCTGTAACATACCAGCAGGGGGCGCCACGAGAACAAACATGGCGATGTCAAGCGATTTAATGCACTGACTGCATCTGTCTTAATGTGCAAAATTTAATGGTCAAGTCAGAACTGGAACTGAACAAGGATTCAGCTGTTAAACACATAATTAACTTGTCTTCATATCTGCTTCTTTAATTCCAGCATTTCAGGCCGTCTGACAGGACGAGGTTATTTGTGTTGCAGCTTTCAGCAGTAAGGCAGTTCAGAGGTCTTTACATGATAAATGTTACATTCAAACTCATTGATCCAGTTATTAAATAAAGTTTACTCATTTATCTCAAGGCGCTTTACAAATAGTTTTTCAATTAAAATTATCAAAAATATCGCATCATTCCAGATAATTATTCAAATAAGCTTAAAAACTTTCCAGTAGATTACAGCATTCGCTCCTGGACAAGCATGTAGTGACAGTGGAGAGGAAAAACGCCTGCAGTGATCGATGTGACCAAAAACATGGATGAGTTTCTCTGGGTTTTCCTGGGACATCTGACCTTTAACCTCGGAAATGTTCTTCATGCGATGGAAGGCCGACTTTGGAACCGTCTTTATGTGGCTCTGAAGCATCAGATCAGAGTCCATCCTGATCTTTGGTTTCCAGCTGTTACAACTGAAGCTCTGTGCTGACTGTCATTCCTCTTTAGGCCCAAATATAACTTCAGTCATCTGTAATCAGATTATTCACAACTGGATTTCCCATCAAATTCACCACAAGCCAGATGGTACAAAGCTCTAAAAAACCAGAACACACCGACTGTTTTATGTGTCAGGATGTTAAATGTTAGTTTCAGGCAGTAAAGTTGGGAAAGGTTGTTGTGTGGTCAGCAGCTCTGCCTCAGATTCTCATCTCCTTCAAACCAAAGTGGACTGATGGAGTTTTTCTGTCTCAGTTTGAGCTTCACCAACGTGAACGAGGGCAGTTCAGCCACTGGTTCAAAGTAAATCACGAGAATTACCCCTGATGTCTGGAATCCGAGGCTGAGCGATTCGTCTTGCTCTTTAGTTCTCGCCCTTTGCTTTATTTAAGCCACCTGCTGGTCCTTGAAGGGCAGCACCGCTGTTTGTGTTGCCTTTTGCTGTCTGTTGATCATTTTCTAGGACTTCAGGAGAAAAAGTCATTAGCATTTTTTAAGATTTAACTTCAGCTGATTGGAAATATAGAGAGTAAAAATCTTTATCTATTTACACAAACTGTTAATACAGAAAATGCCGATTAGAAATAATTTTCCCCCATCGCTTTGGCGCCCCCTCCAGGGTGGCGCCCGTATGCGCAGCATGTAGTAAAGAGCTGGCATGTCAGCAGTAGCCACCAGAGGGCGCACTGTAAGCGTTGGTTTTATGACAGCAAATAAGTTTATTTGTAGAACTTTTACAAAACTGAAGTTACAAACTGTTTTCCTTCCTCTGGTCACATCAGGGGGAAACTGGAAAAACGCTCTGTAAGTTTAATATATTTAACAGTAAAATAAAAAAAAAGCAACTTCTGGAAAACGTCAAAAATATTGAAGCACAGAGTTATTTTAAATTATAGTAAAAATAACAAGAAAAAAATAGAATTGCCTTCGATTTAATATAAACTCGAACAGTTAATATTAATTTGTATTCCAGATTCTCATTAGTATTCATTGCTATTCCACTGCATGTAAAGGTTTAGTTTTTTATTGTTTACTGCCTTGTTGCTGAAATGTGATACAAATAAATTTGACTTGACTCATAAATTACCAGGAGAGATTATGAGATTATGAGGATATTAATGCTGATGAGGCTCCAAACCTCATCAGAAGAGATTCATGATGTCATTTTATTGTAATTTAGAAGATGTTTTTCTGATCATTTCTGTTCTGTCTTTATGTTCAGAGACTTTATCTTCATTTAAGTTTAAATCTCACCAATGCATGCTAATGTGAACCAACTGCATGTTCCTAACCTGTCAGAAAAGGTCAGCAAACAGATGAAGGCGGTTTGGGAAACAGGATTCCTTGTGATGTTTTTGGAGTTTTTCCTCTGAACCGTCTGGATGAATCCTGAACTCAGAAAAAAATCTGAGTTCTGTCTGAAACAAATCAATCCTAAATTCCTCTTAGCTTAGAGAAGCTAACATTTTCCCCAGGAAATGTTTACAGGACTTTTTTTTTTAAATCAAACTTTTATGTTTGTAGCCATGAACTTTTTTTTTATTTATAGTTATTTCTAAAAACATTTTGCTGATATTATTCACTGTAAAATAAATTAGCTGCATTTATTTGTGAAACATTCTTTCAATAATTCAAGGTTTTTTTCCCACATACTTGGTGATTCACCTGGAAGACTCATGTTTAATGCATGCTGTACCAAATCCTGAACATCTTTTCATATTGTTTTCATTTTCAGCCTGACATGCAGGGATTGATGTAGGCCAAATGCAAAGCTGATGAGGAAAACCGTAAAACCTTTGGGTGCAACTTGCATCCGTGTTTGAAATGTTCCCTGATCGATTCTCTGGTTCCTGATTATTTTTGTATCTGTTACCTGTTTGTGTGCCAAACCTCCCAGGTAAAATCCTGTTTTACATTTTTTAAAATAAACAACCGAAAGCGTCCATGTTTTGCAGCTGAAGTCTGCAGAACCAGAAGCCAGAACTGAGGCACAAACGCAGAGCGAGAAAGAAAACAGGTGAAGAAACATGTTAGACGAAGCAAACATTCAGGAAAAAAATCATTTTAAGGATTTCAAATATAACAAAACACACTGAAATCCAGGGAAACAAAACTTTACCTTCTTTCAGAAATGTTCCCATTTCTTTATTGTCTTGTATTTTCCAATATTTTCCTCCATGTTATGATTTGGCAGGTAAATACATTGTGGTTGATATTTATTTTTGCACGTTATTTTCAGGTCTCTATCTGGTTTTAGTTGTTTGGCTCCAGCCTCCCAGTTACTCTTTCTGATTAAAATAGTTCAGTTTAGTTTTTGCATATAAAAATTGCTTTCAGTAATTGTTTGAATTGTTTGGGCCAACAAACACAGTAAGAATCACATGGTTCCTCATGTGATTCCCCACTCGACACCATGAAACGTTCCAGATCCAGACATATGGGTGTGGACAGATTGGTCTCAATACGCCGTAGCACTGACATGGAAAGGGAACCTTTTTGTCTGTTCATCCTGACTTTTTAAAGTGAAACTGAGTGTGAGATTCACTCTCAGGTCAGCACAAAGTTGGCAAAGAAGCTTCTTCAAACTCATGAAGTTGAACTGTTGAAGTGAAGTTACCTTGTGATTGAAGTGACTTTGGCCATGTTGTCCTCCTAACCAGAGGAGACATGAAAGGCTGTTCACGTCTTCAAAGAATAATCTGTTTATGTCTCCATCCTTCGCCCTGCCCGTCTTTGTCTCCGTGTTTCTGGTTCCTCCTGGGAGCGGTGGAAGGGAGGCAGGCGGAGGTCAGCCTTCAGCTCTGATTCTGCTCCGTTTTCCTCACGGTGCAGAAACTGCTTTCTTCAAAGTCTTGTGATTTTAACCAAAGAAAAACATTAACAGTAACAAAGCAGCTGACTTTAGGATCATGAAAATCTTACAAAAAGGCACCATGTCCTTAACTAGTGGATAGCTAAACCATCTGTGCTTATTTTCTTACTGTTATCTGAAGTAAACATGGCTGGAGGTTGAATGAAGAGACGGAGTGAACTCATCTGCTGACCTGCAGCTGTTGCTTTCAGTCGGTGGTGATTTAATTTCCTATCAGGAAAACGTCGGTGATGAAACGGAGCTGGCTTTGATCCTGGATGTAAAGACCGAGTCTCTGACAGCGAACGTCTTCTTCAGGTTTTCCCGTTTGCTCATTTATGTTTGATGTGTTCAAACCCTTTAAAGCTGATCTCTGCACTCAGGCAGGAGACAGAAGGAAAGTCTGAATGCATTTATTAGGACATTAGGAAAAAAACTACAGATATCAACAATAACACCATGTTGGGCTTCACTTGTAAAGTAAATGAAAATGTGCCGTTATAAAAAGGCTAGAAATTTAATATATATACACAGTGCAGTTCTAAAGTATCGGTACCTTTGTCACATTTTGTCATGTTGTGATGACAAACTTCAGTGCGTTTCACTGGGATGTCAGGAGAAAGACCAACATAAAGGAGCACATTTCTGAAGTGGAGTAAAAGAATTCATCGTTTTCACATTTTTTATTTAAATCAATTTGAAATACATGGCTATGTATTCATGCGATGTTTAGGGATTTCTGAGAAAGAGCTTTGGATCCAACACTTTGAATGACACAACGCTTTATGAACAATGACATGCTGAGATTTTTTCTGTGACTGTCAGAAATAAGAAACAAGACGGATCGATATCATCGTCCACTTCCTGTTGTCTTCTTCTTCGTCTTTTTCGTCAGTAGTATAACCATGTGTGATGTGAGAAAGTGTTTCCTTTGTAGATTTGCAAAACCGCCTCATTCTAGCAAAAAAACATTTCATTGATAATCATGAGTCTTTTAGAATGTCGTTTCATTTCAAATTGTACAGTTTTACAGTGCAGCTGCTGTGGTGTTGGGGTCGGATGTGAACTGTCAGTTTTCTGCTGTTTGCATGTTAGCCTGAAAGTTTAGTTTTGGTCTCATCTGATTAAAGAACGTTTTTCTGTATGCTTCCTGTGTCTCGTAGATTTTGTACCAAACGTTGAGTTTTCTTTTTGTGATTTTTAGAGTTCAGGCCAAAAAGCTGGTCTCTAAACTCACATGTAAATTAATCTGATGCTAAATTTCTCACAAATGGATTTTAGGCGACTTCTGAATGGGAAAATTTGCACTGGATTTTATTTAGGTTTACTGATATAAAAGACAATGGATACAAATCCATGCCGCACTTTGTAAAATTTCTAGTAATATTTTTTAGAAATTATTTTATTCCACTTCAAAATGTTGCGTTTAGTCCTGTAGCTTATAAAATAGAGTCGGGTTTTTGGTTGTAATATGACAAAATGTGAAAAGTTGTAAAGGTAAGAATACTTTTACAAGACTATCTGTCTTTACTAAGATTTTCTAATAAACGGAAACAAAAGCAGCTGATGAGAAACGAAGCGTTTCACAAAGCAAACATTTTTGTACAGCAGTTTAGAAATGAGAGCGAAAGCTTCTGAACTGAGAATATTTACACTGATTGACTTTTAATGCAATTTGGTCATTAGTGCAACAATCAAACATGGCAGCCATCTGCTCAGCTCCTGTCCGTGAACTGAGCCAACATGTTGCTCTGAGCTCTTTAATGGCACAGCTGTTGTAGCTTCGTTGTTCCTGAAGAGGCACCGGCTTGGTTCGGGTTTAATCCACCACATTTTCAGTCACTTCCACGTGAGTGCAGCTCATTTATACCTGAGAAGGTATTTAGAAAAACATCATCTGCCATCAGAAACAGTTTCCCTCTCCGTCTGTCCCCGACAGTTTCATCAGCACCAGGAGAACGACCTTCCCACCATCTCAAAGAAGCGTTTGTTGGGCTTCCTGAAGAACCGGCAGAGCTTCTTCAAGGCCTGCGTGCTCAGCGGAGCGTGTGGTCGGCCTTTGGACTCGTCCAGGCACTTATCATGTCCAGCGGACAGGAGGCAGTAGAAGCCTTTGGTGGTGTTGAAGTAAAAGTTGCTGGGGTTTATCCTGGGTGGAAGGTCCAGGAACCGCTCCGCCTTCCTCAGCTCCGGGAACGGGTCCCGAATGAGCGCGTCGCCATCCACCACGTGGATCTGCTCCAGGGGGAAGACCTCCAGCCAGCGGGCCAGGTGCAGGTGGTACAGGCTCCTCTGCAGCGCCTTGTAGCCGTGGTTGATGTGGCCCTTGTGGAGCAGCAGCTCCTCCAGCGGCTGGTAGGGCTTGTGCTGCGTTAGGCGGTTGTGGAGGACCTGGGTGTAGTCGGAGACCAGCCTCTCCGCCGGGTCCCTGACGATGAGCAGCAGCCGGACGGCCGGGTTCATGTCCCACACCCGAACTGGAACCTGGGGGGCCGCGAAGTAGCCGGGGGTCTTCTCCACCGTCAGCTGGCCCGGCAGGGTGAAGGGCATCTGGGCTCGGTACCAGGCCAGACCCCGGCGGAAATGTTCCTCCACGTTGAAGTAGTGGACCTGGGAAAGGTTTAAAAATGAAGAATCAACAAACTACGGCTGACACGATTAATCATAATTAATGATGATTAATCATTAATTATGAAAAATCCAAACAGAAACTAAAGATAAAAAATGCAAACCCAGGAGAAAACCAAACAACAAAGACACCTAGAACCTGATTACTTACATTTTCCATTTGAAGAAGTTAAGAAGTAATTTGTTTGTAGTTTTCTTCACTTTTTTCTACATTTTGGCAATTTTTTAATTAGAGAGCCCTACCAGAAATGGTCCCCAGGCCTCATTTTGGACACCCCGAGTGTACTGGAACATTTTCCTACGGTGCTTATGTCTGCAAACCACAAGAGGGAGCTCTTTCTGACTGACTGTCTAAGCACAGTTGATTTTATTCAGGCTGGTTCAGATACTCGTAATCATTGTCTTTGAAAGCAACATTTTACTCTAAATACTCTGATGCTATAAATCAGTCTAAGGATGCATTCACACCAACTCTATGCAGTCTATTTTAACAGAACTCCAGTTTGTCTAGAAAGTCTGGTTTGCTCGTGAAAGTAGGAACGAATAATCAAATCTGATATGAACCAAATAATTGAACTCTGGTCCACTTAAAAACCTTGGTCTCAGTTCAGTTGAAGTGAACCCTCATTCAGTTCGGATGCATATGTGAACGCCAAGCGGACCAGAGAACGCTCCAAAAACAGGAAGTGGACAACAGGGCTGAGCATTCTGGGTAAATGCCACCAAAACAAACATGCTAGCCTAGCGCTAGCAGGAGAAATGACCCGTGGTCTTGTACCAAAAACAAAAGAGAAATCCTACAGCTGCTACAATTTGATGCCACTACATTTTTGTTTACGTTCGTGAGGAAGGAAGTTGCTCTCAGTGTTTTCAGAGGTTTTTGTGTCGTTTCCTTCAGTGGTTCTTGGTGCAGCGCCCCCACAGGCGAGGAGGGGAACAGGTTGCTCTAATGTTTTGGTTGATTTGACTCAGAGCAGAGAGAAAGAACCAGCAGCTGGAAATGGAACAAATGTTGCATATTTGGTCCCTAAACAAACCGAGTCTATCAACTATCAGGTGTGAAAACAGCCTCAGATTTTTCTGCCATATGTTTAATCTAAAATGTGAGTCAAAGTTACACATCATCCTTAAACCACCCAAAGAATGCAAAAGTTTCAGTCAAACAGATGTACTGTCCAGTAAAATTTCTGGAGATTCTGAATTTTCTTTATGATGGGTAAAAGTTGACGATATGCTTCACAAACCCTGATTGATTCGGTCAGTTTTGCTCTTCTGTGACAGTTTTACCTCGGCCTTCGCCACCTCCACGTCCGGGTGCAGGTTGAGCATCTCCAGCAGGGCCCTGGTGCCGCCTTTCCGCACGCCAATGATAATAGCTCCGGGCAGCCGCTGCTGGGTAGCGTTGTAAGAGGAGGAGGATGATGATGCTGAGGAGGGGGAGGAAGAGGATGGAGGAGGAGAGTGAAGAGGCGAAACGGACCCCCCGCTGCGCAGATCCCTTAAGCAAACAGAGAGCTGAGTCTGCAGCAGGAGAAGCACCAGCAGAGCCAGCAGCACCGTCCACAGCATGGTGCCACACACACACACACACACACACACACACACACACACACACACACACACACACACACACACACACACACACACACACACACAGGTGGAGCGCTGGTTAGCAGCACACACTCATTGAGCTCCCACGCAGTGCTTGTTATCAGTCAGCAGGGGGCCTCAGGGGGACGCTCCTCAATTTCACAACCTGAGAAGAGAAACAGAAAGATGAATGCCTGCTTTTACTTCCTGCTAAAGATGGGATGCATTTCTAAAGTTTTCTGCTTGTTTTGCTGCAAAAGAAGTGAAATTTGTTCATTTTAAATGCAAATAACTAAAAAAATATTCCTAATAAAACGCCGTTTTTTGGGAGTCAGAGGATTCTGAACCTCTCAGGTCAGAACATTGAAACTATTAGGAAAAAGCATTTGATCATTTCCTGTCAGTCCTGGATAAAAGAAAACATTAGCACTGCTAGCATTGATTATTCTAGTAATCGATTAATTGATCAAGTTATTCTGACGAGTAATCAGAAAAGAAAATTGTCACATTCTTCTTAACCACTGGAGTCTTTTTTATATATTAGAAAAACATTAAAATATGAATATAAACAAATAATTCAATTCCAACTTTGAATAAGAAAATAGTCATTTTATTTCACTCAGTCCAGATTCACTAAATCAGCTCAAATTTAGTGAATCTGAACTGAGTGAAGCTAAGACTGATTTTTTTTTTTTTTTTTTTTTTACAAAATCTATATATTTTGTAAAGTTTTGGCTTAATTACTGCTTTAAATATGTTTTTTTTTTTTTGTAAATTGCCATTTTTGAGTCTGTATGCTCCAGTTAACGATCAATCAATTACTAGATTAGCTTATGATTATTTCAATAATTTCAATAATGGATAAATCATGATTAATCTGATTAATTGTTCCATCCGTATGAAACATGTAAGTGAATTCAAAGTGTTGGCTGACAGTTGGGTTCGGTCTTGTTGTTTCTGTCCAGCCTCCCTTCCCGCCCAGCAGGAGGCTGAACTCCATGTGAGGAGAAATCTGCAGCTCTTCCTCCCAGTGGAAGATCTCAGCCAATAGGATTGTAAACGTGCAGCTACTCTGTAATTTCTTTTCATCTCACATTCTGCAGCGCGGCACATGTTCATTCAACTGTTTTATGAGCTCATAAGTTCATCTTAATGGGCCGTTTTACGAAAAGTCTGGATCCTGCTCAGACTGTGGAGCTGCGATATGATTATGGTCTGAAGCGTTAAAATATTAATCCAGGTTGAGAGGAGATGGATGGATGTTGAGAGGATGCAGATGAACGTTAAACTCCTCAGATCAGGAGTTTGACTGCAGGTATTTTTAGCTGTAACAAAGAATATTTTTGCAAATGCATGAATGGGTGACAACTTTTCTTTCACACAATACTTTTTTTAACAGCTTTGAACCTAAAATAGTCTCATGTGATGCAAAAAGAAACAAACTTGTGATCGGCTTCACATGCTGAGCGTCATGACGACGTTCCCGAACTGATCAGCTGCTCAGCCTTCTGTGGCAACAGCTGCTGGTTTACAAGCTTCTGTTGGAGGGAAACGGATCGCTGTCTGCAGGACTGGAGGCCATGAGATGTTTGTGATCAAAACTCAGGAGTAAAGGCTTTCAGCAGCCATAAGCTCAGCTTCTCACTGGAGAAAACATTTTATATTCTGTTCGTTTGGATTTCTATCCAGTTATGGACATTTATATGTTTGTTGTTTTATTATGGAAGGAAGAAAATGTCAAGGAAACTGGATTGTTTACTGGCAGGGGAGAAACTGACCAAAAGGAGCCACTATGAGCCAGAACAAAGGATTTATTTTAGGGTTTAAGTGGTGACATCTCGGGTTGGTTTGATGAGCATGAGAAGAATCTCATTCAAAACAAAAGTGTAACACTGTCTGACCGCCAAACAGAACCAAACCAAACCGGAACCGGGTCGGATAAGCAGCAGAAACCAGGAGCAACCGGACCGTGAGAGGAGCAGAACTGGGTCCTGACAGGATACAAAACTGACGCAGTAAAAAGGATGAGCGAGAAAACTGAAACGAACACAATACTGAACAGAAAACGTCAGAATAATAAACGATGTAAAAATGTCCAGGATCAAGACTGGAGTCAGATCAAGTTGTAGTTTGTGAATTAATATAGAAAGTTTAAGCCTCTAATTACAGACAAGTTATATACATTTTATGATTTGTGATAAATAATAATTTACAGTAGGCTGCACAGAGAAATCCTTTAATCTCCATGGCAACCTTTCAGCTGCACAAAACACCTGGGTGGACTTAGCCCGGCTTTGGGGTGCAGCTCCTCCTCTGCAGTTTCCATCTTTCAGAGCTTCTGCCTCTCAGAGCAGCCACTCAGCTCCTTCAGACTAGCCAGCAGCAATTAGCAAACACCTGGTGGAGCTACTGAGCTCATTATGGAGCAGTCATGTTGCCAAGACTTCCTGAAGGCTGAGTTTCAGAAAGAGCAGGAGCTTCTTAAAGAGACACAGGCCCAATTTCAAGGCGTTAAATATTGATGTCATTTGATATTTTGTGTATTCAGCATTTTTATAACAACTGAAGGCAACATAGTTATTTAATTATGCTGTAAAATTGAATTTTGTGTCAGAAAATACATAATACTGCCCTTTTAAAGCTATTTCATGGGTTCTGACATTTTGAATTAGTATATAAAATGAAACTATGTTTTATAAACAAAAGGCTTAACAGTATCAGTTAAAGGGGAATTGATACAAAATCAGCGTTTATTTGAGTTTTCATCATGTTATTATTCGCTCATCAGAAACAAACCTGGACTGTTGGTTTGATTCTTCCAGGCATGTTTTAGAAAACTTTGAGTGCTTAAACACAGATATGAGTGGAAACAATCAAATAACTGGTTGAAGGTTTTAATTGCTGTAACATCAGTGAAGACGTTTGGGTCGCAGGTCTCAGGGTCAGTCTGGGTTCTGCCATGTTTTCTCTGTGCATCATGCTAAAGCTAACGATAGCTATCCAGGTTTCAGACTTTCTCTGCCTTTAAACTTTAGCACACTTTAAAATGCAGTTTACCGCAGGAGTAATATGACACATGAATACGTTTCTTAAAAGGCTGTGGATTTTCTTCAGTGAAATCCTTCCTCCTGTTTGCTGCTGCTGCTGTTATTCATGTTCCTGCAGTTTCTGTGCCAAAGCTGCTCTGACGCAGCCAAGTTATTAATTAGTGTAACAATGTTCTGGTTGAGAGGGGAGACCATGTTTCACGTTTTTCCTGTAGCGGAGCTCTAATTGTGCCATCAGGGAGCAGCAGGCGGCCCCCGACCTTCTGCGTTATCCCCGACCTGGAGACGCTGGCGTCACCGTCCGGCCTCCGCCTCGCTCTCCCAGCTACGTACTGCGGCTGTCAGGGTTTCTGTGTGCTGCTCATGTTGATGTTTTGGTTGAAAAAACGGGACAAAACCAAAATTCAAGGATGTTTGCACATGGGGTTTTCTTTTTCCAGAAAGATTTATTGAAATTTTCCCTTCAAAATGAGAAAAAATCCAACATGTTCTTTGATGTTCATCATCAGTTATTAAAAACCAACTAATTATTGATCACAGAATTAAACAGTTTTGCTGCACAACACAGTCTAAGTTCTGCACTCATGCATTTTTTAAATAATTGTCTTTAATGAAGCAGAATAAGAGACATATTCAGACTTTCACTTGTGTGCAAAATAATTACAATCCTAAACAAAACGATTATTTGTGGAGAGAAAAAAATGGAGCAAAAATAACTGAGGTGTAATTATAATAACTTAGTTGTTTAAAAATGTTGGACATGAACTGAAGTTTAATTTGTTTGGAAAACCAGGAAGAACTGAGCAGAGATCCTGCTCTGCCTCTTTCTGCATCACGTAATGATGTGTTCTGTTTGGTTTTTGCTTTTTTAACGTGAATATTTTGACATCTTTTTGTTGTCCATTATTGAATGTGCTGCTCTTTCTTTTACCAACAGAACCAGCAGCAGAGTTTTAATGGCAGGAAGGAACAGATTTTATATCTGCAGCAAACAGTTTGCAGCAGAGTTATCATGCTTCCTTTTACCTCTGGAAAAATGAATGCAAACAGCTTGATAGCTTTAACTGGCCGTTAAATTTTATCGCTGCTTTTATCTCAGCACTTTGACCAGGATGTCGTCGTTTTGATCACGTGTCAAAAAAGTTGATGCTAAGAAAGGATTGTGGATCAATCAGCTCATCGGTTCACATCCTGATCAAACACACACACACACACACACACACACACACACACACACACACACACACACACACACACACACACACACACACACACACACACGGCCTGGTTTTCTGTCTGGATGATGGTTGGTTGATGTTTAGTTGAAAATGCTGTAATGAACTGATTTGTGACAGAAGGGATACATCATTTTCTCCAAACTTTTCCTTTTCATTCAAAATGTTTATGTCAACATCTGATTTGTTCATTTAAACTAGATGGATGAGATAAACAGATAATAATCAGAGTTGAGATAAATTACTGAATATCCTATCAGATGTATTATCTATTGCTATTGTTCATGTGTTTTTACTGCGATATATTTATTGTTACTGATTTATTGCCCAGATCTTCATATCACTTTCACTATTTAAGTTCAAGTTTTACAGAAATTATCCTCCATTGACTTTTTAATTTATTGCTTTTCTTCTGAACCATTTGAAGCTTTATAAGTAGATTTTTTTAAACATTTTGTAAAGATTGCAGACCGAAATGAGGCCTCATTCAGAGAACCAGCAGCATCTGATGATGCCACCATGCAGGGCGTGTTCAGTGAGAGCAGACAAAGACAGATACCTTTAGGGAGCTTGGTGTGTGTGTGTGTGTGTGTGTGTGTGTGTGTGTGTGCATGGGGAGACACTTGTCTTGTGTTAAGTGGTTGCACAAATCCCTTGTGACTTCCCTGTGAAATGGAATATTCTCCTGTCTTTTCTCCGCCGCTCTCTGTGACCTTTGCCCCGTCTTTCAGGGCTCACACCTTTCTGCTCGTCTTCACCTGCGCTGCCTAACCTCTGCTGCTTCTCTTGCTCCAGCTCTGGTCTCTGAACTGCTTGAATCCTGCCCTGTTTATGCGGATCAGCTAACAAACCCAGCTCCATGCTAATGGGGGATGCCCTGCAGC